TTTTCTTTACCCTATTAAAAGTGCCTTTTTATGCAAATATGGTGAGGGATCACAGGTTACTTGGATATTATAAAAGGGGGTCTTGATTTGAAAAAGGTTGGGAAACGTGTTTTAATCATTCAGCCTATGAACTGGCAATCATGGTTTTCAGTCCCTTGGTGTTTCACTCACTGTCTGAGTTGATATCTTCAGGATCGGTCTCCTCTTTGATCACCACGTTCAGAGTCCTCCTCCCAGTATCAGACAGAACCGGCTGCATTTCATCCAAGGGTGCAGCTTCCGTCACCACCTGAAACAGCATGCAGGATCACAACATGAGACGGGACTGAGTAATGGAGCCGGGAGCAGGGCAACGAGAAAGGAGGGTCCGGTTTTTTCTCCTCACCCCAAACCTGCCACAACAAATATACAATCCCTCCACAATCTACAACCAGGAGACCCCAGGGATCCATCTAGATGATTACAGTGGACCCTCTACTTACGGAATTAATCCGTATTGGAACGGTGGCTGCAGGTCGAAAAGTCTGTAGGTCGAGTCTCCATTGACTTACAATGCATTGAAAACCGATTAATCTGTAACCGGCCGGTTTTGTTTCAGTTTGGGTTTTTTCTGGTCTGTAGGTCGATCCTCCGGCTGCAAGTCGAACCTGAATTTTGCGGCCAGAGAAGCCTGTAACTCGAAAAGTCTGTAAGTCGAGCCGTCTGTAAATCGAGGGTCCACTGTATGTGGGGCTCATGACACTACAATTCCCAGAAGCCCTAGCTGACACAGCAAACAGTCAGGAGCTTCTGGGAGATGTCGTGCAAACATGGCTGGCGTCCCGTTTGGGAATTCCTGTTCCAGTGGTTTGACATCCTTTTCAGATGTCTAGATCCTGCAGAATCTTGAAATCTGTAGTTCCATGAGATGGGTTTAAATCGCCTGCTGCCATTCAGGAGAGAGTGGAATGCAGCTCTCCATTTCACTTCCCCAAACTACAAGTCCCAGGATTCTGTAGGAGGCAACCATGGCACTTACAAGGGGTACCAACCTGGTGTTCTTTTGTGGTGTAGATGCACCTCTTCCAGGTCCACCTCTGGAAGGATGAAGCCCAAGGGTGCTGAGGCAGTGGGATGGGCTGCCCAGCACCTGCAGACTTGTGGGTAGGTGGGCTTGTTTATTCTGAAGGACCACCGCAAAGCTGAAACCGTATGAAACCATATGTGGCTGTAAACAAAATGGCCACCACCCACCTCCACCCTCCTCAGATCTGTGTCCAAGTGGAAAGTGGCTTTTTTTCTTCTCTTGGGCATCGGATCTTCCTCTCCTCCTGAAAGGAGCAATGTGGTTTACGGTGGTATGAGAGAGGCCGTGGGGGGGAAAGGTGGCTCTGTCGTCCAGGAGAAAAAGAACATCTTTTTATTCTTTCTTTCTTTCTTTCTTTCTTTCTTTCTTTCTTTCTTTCTTTCTTTCTTTCTTTCTTTCTTTCTTTCTTTCTTTCTTTCTTTCTTTCTCTATTTTTGTGTTGTAATTTGTTATTGGAAGGCTTTATGTATTATTCTTGTGTTATTTTATTGTTCTTTATGTTATATTGGAAACTGCCTAGAGTGGTCGTATAGACCAGATGGGCGGGATACAAATCAAATAAATAAATAAATAAATAAATAAATATAAATAAATAAATAAATTCAGAGGGAACAGGAGGGCAGATGCCAACCAGGACCTGCGGCCTGGCCTGGTGACGACACTCTGCCTCATGGTAGGGCCGGCCTTGCCTTGCCTAGACCTCCCTCCCCCCAGAAGACTCATCAAGAGCAAGAGAGGACCCACCTGCTGCTCCCATCGCTTAGACTCCCTTTGCATCCAGAGGAAATCCTCAGCGAGGGCCACCGCTTGGGGACAAGACCCAGGGCCGCGTTCCCTCACCCAGTCCTGGATCTCCGGGGGCAGGACGGTCAAGAACTGCTCCAGGATGAGCAGCTCCAGGATCTGCTCCTTGGAGTGACTCTCCACTTTCAGCCACCGGCGGCAAAGCTCTTGGAGACGGTCATACGCCCCCCTCGGCCCCTCGGCCTCGTGGTAGCGGAAATGGCGGAAGTGCTGGCGCTGTCTCTCCCGGCGGATGGCGTCCCCTTGCAAGATGGCCCCCTTCACCTTCTGGTAATCCTTCTGGTCACTGCCTTCGAGGCGGCTAAAAGCCTGCTTGGCTTCTCCCCGGAGGGCTGGGAGGAGGTGGGTCGCCCACTCTTCTTCCGGCCACCGGCAAGCTTCGGCCACTTGCTCAAAGGAGGTTAGGAAACCCTTGGCGTCATCCCATGGCGCGGGCTCTTCCAGGATCTCCGGGACCCCTTGCCCTGTCTGAGAGGACTCCACAGTCTGCAGGAACTCCTGCCACTGGGATTCCCACTCTTGAAGCACTCCTTTACAGGGCTCCTGTTTAATCTCTTCTCCTGGATTCCTCTGAAGAAATTCCTGAATACTCTCCTCCTGGAACGTACAAGGCGTCTGCAGGGCAGCCATCTTCCAAAAGAGACTCTTACGTCCCTCAGGCAATAAGACTCTCCTGAATGGGTCCAGCAAATGGAGGGATTTTCACCCGGTTCTTAAATGTTCTTTACTTGCAGCCCAATAGACTTCAATTTGATATGATTCATGCAGTATCAAATGAAAATGGCAGGCATTGCCTTCCAGAAAATGTTAAATGTTTCCCTTCCTGTAAGGGAGGAGGAAAAAAAACATTTTTAGAAAGAGGAGGAAGAATAAACAAAGTATATACAGAGGTGTCGTGAAGGAAGTGCCAGGGAAGAATGCCGAATTTACTGTCTGGAGGTTGCAAAAAACAGAACACAGGGTGAAGCTTAGTAATACAGTGGTACCTCGCTTAACAATTACCTCATTAAACGACGAAACCGCTTGACAATGAAGTTTTTGCGATTGCTTTTGCAATCACAAAACAATGTTTTAATGGTAAAAATTCCCTTAACAATGATCGGTCCCCTGGTTCGGGAACAGATTTTTCGCTAAACGACAATTTTGAAACAGCTGGTCAGCGGCTCTAAAATGGCCACCCACTGTGTTTTCAGGCACCGAAAATGGCCGCCCTATGGAGGATCTTCGCTGGACGCTGAGGTATTTAGCCCATTGGAACGCACTGAACCAGTTTCAATGCATTTCAATGGGCTTTTTCATTTCACTTGACGAGGATTTCGCTTAACAGCTATTTCAACGGAACGAATTATCCTCGTCAAGCAAGGCACCATTGTAAACAAAAAACGTGATAGCTTTCAAAAGCAGATTCACTCACACACACACACACACACACACACACGGTATATGTGTACAGTGAGTCTCACCAAATAACAGAAGAGTTTACTCTTCCATAGCTCCAAATTTTCTTGGACTACAACTCCCAGAAATCCTGGCCATCACAGCTAGTGAAGGCTTCTGGGAGTTCAAGAATATCTCGGGACCCAAAGTTGGGAAGCACTTAGCATTTATCACATGTTTATCCTTCCAAAGAGCTGAGAGATATGAATTTTCTCCTCCCTCCTTTCTCCTCACAACTAAGAAGAGCAGATCAGCCTAAAAATTTATGACTCACCCCAAGTACATTTTATATCTAATTTGGGGGACCAGACGTGGGTCTGCCCTTCTAACCATGACACCCCAACACTGAACGCTCCTTACTTTCTGATAAATCCGGGGTGGGTGGGTTCAGGATTTGTCTATTCAGAAAAGAGTCACATTTAATTTGCTGGGGCTTCTTCCCCCTTTTTTAAACTACATGGCCATTTTCCTATTGCTAGTCCCAACTAAGAGCAGAGCCATTTGATCTAATGCTGAACAATAAATCCCATTAAATCAAAGGGTTCGGCAAAGTATTTATTTGATTTTGTAATTATGTCATTTTGTACTCTTCAGTAGTTTTGCTCTTCTATATATATTTTTAAATCTAAGTCTAAATCTTGTCAACTGCTGGGTAAGCTCAGTAGCATCTGGTTGTGGACCACCAGGTTCTGAGTTCGATTCCCACACATGTGCCTCCATTAATAAGAATGATCCATAGGATCTCTTCCAGTTCTGCAGTTCTAAAATAATCATTTGTTAACTACATTAACAAAATTAATTGCACCTTAACAAAGTTAATTCTTTAACCTAGTTATGGAGCTCTTATGCCATCACATTCCTAATATGTGTATTTCGTAAGGTACTATGTTATCTTTCAATAACGGAGAGGGTCGGGGAGTGACTCCTTACAAAAATCTGATTCCCATAAACGTGTGACCCTCTCTGAAGGTTTTGGTGCTCCATTCCTTAAAAAAACCCCAAACTAGCCATTTGTCAAGGATGATGGGCTTTGTAGTCCTCCTTCCGCTCCCGAGATTCCCAAGTTCTAGTGTGTAAAACTAGATAATAATCATAACATTCAAGCTAAATCCTCTTCGAGAATAAGAGAAGGAAGCAAAGACTCCCTGTGCCCACGATCCGCCTTTCTCTCCTTCCAGCTTTCCTTCTTGCACGTTCACACGTGCATTTCCTGCTCCTCTTGGGAACGCAGCGCCACTCACCAGGCTGTCCCTCTCCCAACGAGGACTTCCCTTTCTTTCCAGATCTTCGAGGCTACAGCTATTATTCCCGTTCGGGTGTTACGAGTAGAAGCGGGAAGCACATTCACAAGACTCCCTTATCCGGAGGAGGAGCAGACACGACAGGAAGGGGCTGGGCCAGATCTGGAAAGAGACTGTCTAGGAAGTGGCTAAATTGACTTGTTCCTGGGAGTTTTAACTACAGACCTCAATTCCAGCTCTGTGAAAGGCAGATTGCATGGCAGTCCCTTTGTTTGAAGAGAGGGGCCATCAATTCCAAACTGCTCTCTGGGAAGGAACTTGGAAACAACCTGCATACTGCACTCTCTCCATCCAGGAAAGGAATTTCAGCATCATCAACCATGTAGATTTGGGACACTAGTAACAGCACACGAGTTTGGAACGACCCCCAAGAACTTGATGCACAGCCCTGAAGAAGATGTTTTATCCTTGAAAGCTCGATGTTTGTTCCAAACGCATGTGTTGTTATTATATCATGTGAACAGCGCATGATTTTATTTATTTGTTTATTATTTGATTTGATTTGATTTGATTTGTATCCCGCCCATCTGGTTGAAACAACCACTCTAGGATATACAGTAAACCAGAAAACAAACTGGGAGCTTTCAATTATAAAACATCTTCTTCAAGGCTGTGCCTTGAATACAGGAACAGGTGATACCATTAATCAACCATTAAGGAGATCTCTCTTTTTCTCCCTCTCTCCTTAATAATGGTCAATTAAAGGTATCACCTGCTCCTGTGTTTGTATTTTTTTTCCACGACCTTGCAGTCTTTTCCTGATTTGGAAACTACGACTACAGGAAAAAAATTATTAAAAAGGCCGTGAGGTTGTTAAGATTTACACGTGATGCTTTAAAAAGTGAGCCAACCATAAAATCCATTTTTCTTCTATGCCAATATTTTAAGGGTAATGCAGAAAAATTGTAAATAATAGTATCAAAAATTCATGGCAGATGTCTGGCGCAAGTTTGCTTGAGGTGAGTTGAAACAATTACATAAATTTTGTTTGTACTCTTATTTACAATTTTCTACATCATCCAAGGGATATGGTGGCACTGTGGGTTAAACCGCAGAAGCCTCTGTGCTGCAAGATCAGAAGACCAGCCGTCGTAAGATCGAATCCACTCGACGGAGTGAGCGTAGAATATACCAGATGGGCCGGATATTAATTAATTGTCCCATCTCCTGCCAACCTAGCAGTTCGAAAGCATGTAAAAATGTGAGTAGGTACCACCTACTCACATTTTTACCGCCACAGTGGGAAGGTGAGG